GTTGACAATATTTTACACACTTGACATTTTGCTTTTAATTTGAAGACATGTTTCTTTAAATTTTTTATCCATACAGCCAAACTATGGAAAATGTTCCTTTATTGGCGTTTGTCCATTTCGATGGTCAACAATTAAGGACCGAATATATGAGTTCAAAAATCGGGTTTTAATAAGAAAAAACGGATGTCCTTTAGCTAAAACAATGATTCGGAAAGGGCCCGGCCATAAGATTATAGCTTTAATTAGGAGTTCTAAATATTATATTTTGATAATCTTTTCGCGATCTTTATTTTCAATTCTATCCTTATAGTTTATGTCCAAAGGCACATTGCTTAGCATCTGGATCTTTCTCTCTTCTATAAGAGAGGAAAAGCTCAAGTGCTTATATATATATATATATAAAGAGGGGTAGCAAATAAAGGATTCACATTAAATAAGTTAAGGGTCACATGGATACATGAGAAGTTAGTTGGGAATTTCAGAAGTGGAATTAATAATAAATTTAAAAGTATATTCTTAATCAATAAGCTTTATAATTCTTTTGATCATGATCGATCAATAAGCTTAATTAGATAGATAGATAGATATGCATCATTTGCGGAAACCACATTGCACTTGACCTTATAAAACTTATAATTATATGTTACTCCCCATGTTACAAACCACATCTATGCATATATAATTAATAATATACGTACATCTCCTATTTGACTTTGTGATCCCTTATTTGACTCACAACAATCCATGCATGGTGCTACCTCTTTTTTTCAAGAATATATTTATAATGCACGCTCGTTTCTTATAACATAAAAGGCTTTCTTGAGATTAATTATGAGTGATTAGAACGTAAAAAGGTAGTTTAAATTCCTTGACTTATCATCAATTTCTAAGCAAATTAAGCAAATAGATTTTACTCTATTTCTTTTTAAAAAAATATACGATCCTTTCGTTGGTTCAAATTTCTGTTGGTGCAAATGGAACAGTACATAAGGCGATCATTGCTTTATTTTCAAATGATAGTTTGTCTTTTTTAGTAAAATTAATTGGGAGGAAGAATATATAGTGAATAAAATTATAAGAACGAATCTCAGTTCTCAAAGAACAAACCAAAAGGTATAATTAAGAAATAGAGAAATCATAAACAAGTATAAAAGCCCCCACTAAAATTAATAATATCAGGATAGGTAATAAAAAAAAAAAATTGATATATATAGGGCATATGGGGCGGGCTCCCTCACTCTATTGGAATATCATTCCGATATGGCACAGTCTCCAATGATATGATTTGGTTGATGATGAGGAGGTCGGTCGTGAAGTTTGAATGAATTAATGAAGTCTAACCTCGGTCAAGCGATCCAAATGCCATGATGACAATGAGGATTGCACATTCGCACCTCCCTCAACCAATATCTTTCTTGTGCCTCCAACATCTTTTTTTAATTATTCCCAATATATATATATATGTGTGTGTTAACGATTTGGTTCTCCCAATTCATGTGGGCGGCTAGGCGGCGACAAAGAAAAAATTACTAGTTTAAATGTATAGATTCAGAAACTTTTATACTTCTAGACTTGAATTGATTGATTAGTGTATTTAGTTCTTTTTATTATTCCCAATAATCATTTGAAGCTAAGTTTGGAGTAGTAAAGAAATATTTTCTTAAGAGTTGATCACTGATTTTGGATGTGGATTATGTGTTTAAGATTCAAACCTGCAGGAAAGATTTAATCTTCTATAACTGCAGAAAAGATTCAAAACATATGCAGAAACTTTGTAAAGACAGTCATTTGATGGTTCATATGTATGTTAAGATGTGGCCACATCCTGTTCTGTGTCATGTATGGGTGATTGTTTTTATTTTTGAACGCAATATACAAATATTTTCTCAGTACACTATATATTATGTACGAGATTCACTTGAGCCGAAGTATGCAGTTAATTGGAATATGAGAAATTATATATCGTGGCCGGTAATTAGCTACCTTGGCAAATGAATTAAAGAAAGAAACTTAAATAGTTTTGGAAAGGGAAGAGCAATCCCCTCTAGGCTCTATCATGCAAATTAATGTCCAAGGAATCAATTCTAACGGGGAACAAGAAGAATTTAGAGAGATTGTTGGAACGTACCATTAATTGAAAGTTCTTCCTACCCTTAGAAACTTGATTAGTATAGTTGGTAAGTGGTTTATTCTCTACATTATCATCCAATATTTAAATTTTAGAAGAATCAGCAATAATATATATATGAGAAATTCTACTCTAGTTTTATGTATGTACAACTAAGCATGGTTTGAATTTTGAGAGTTTTTTAGTTTTTTTCACAGCTACCGCTATTAGCCTAACATTTTTCTTTCTTCTTTCGATGTTTTTTTTCAATAATCCCAAATCTAGTACTTTTTTTCTACTAGATTTGATGTTATTTTTTATATTTATTCAATTTATTTGGTGTTTGTCCAATTTTTTTGGTATTTTTTTTAGATTAAGATTTTTTTTTTTTTTTTTTATGTCCTTCTATTCTTTCATGAGTTCTTGACCGTAATATAATTTTTATATAGAGTGCTAATAAATTACTATTAGATCTCTTGTTTAGATTTAGAAAAAAAAAAAGTATCAAGTAAAAAATCAAGATAGCATAGCTATTGGTGAATTGCCGATAAAGTTTTAACCATTCATTAACTTATACAATAACTATTAAATTTTTAGATTAGATCTTTAATTTCTATGTAGTGTTTTCAATGTGTGTTTTTTCATTGTTCTTATAGTGTCATGTAAATTTGTTTTATTCTCTTCATAGAAAATCCTTTTGTTTTTTTTTATTGGCTTATGTAGAAACAGAAGCCTTCCTCAATTTCCATTTTAATAAAATTGTTATCTTTGGCCAAAAATAATAATAATAAATAATAAATAATCTATTGAAAATCCAAATGAGAATGGACTTAATCTTGATACGTGAATTATAAAAGTTGACACGAAATACCCTCATAGTTGAAAATATAAAAAGTTTTGGTTTCCCATTTTCTTAGAAATCCATATGTGTGTGTGTTGGGGTTGGGGGGCAGGGGGTTCATAGAAATACTAATAATTACCCGGCCAATTGTCAGTATATAACATGAGCACGAATTGCTTATTCCTTAATGATTTTATCCAACAAGTAATCTTTATGATTGATTGAGCCTGAGAAAGCAAACCTTTCAATTTATGTGATATCATTACGACTAAATGATTGGAGATGGAATAATCAAACTGAATTGCCTAAAAATGGATCGAGACGGCAAGAAAAGACTCGTTTAGCATGTTCAATCTAAATTCATCTATTAAGAGATGGTATATCTATATCTATTCATTTTATTTACAGATATACCTGAAACTTTTATCTCAACATAAGTGTAAAGCGGATTATTTAATACTTATTATAGGTATGAGTATGTGCCTAACTCCTCTTCCTACGCATTTCAATTATCAAAGCTTCTCAAATTTTCTTACATGCTAGAATTAACCCACTGTATTTCCCTGATCAAACCAAAAAAAAAAAAAAATCACTGCACTTTCCATAAGCAACCTCCTCGAAGTGGAAGTATATTAATCCATTTAGTCAAATATACCCAACAAGGGTTTATAATGTGGAAGGATCCGAGAAACAAGATGATATATAGTCGAATAATTTGATAGATTTATTTATTTATAAAAAGTAGGGGGAAAAAACATATATAAAGTATATCAACGTGCAACTAACTCCATAACTGTAATAACTGAAAGAGTATCGAACCTGTAATTTTCAGTCAAACGTTCTACCAAGTGAGAGAATCAGAAACTGAAACATGGCAGCACCATGTGAGCACGTGAATGTTGGGAGAATTTGGTTAGAAACTGGCACCGAAGAACCGGTCAAACAAGAGCCTTTAATGGGATTATTTTGCTAGTTGAGTATAGGCATGTGCTGCCCAGCCCAGGTAAATTAGTCATTTGGGGAACCATACGTGAGTGTTTAATATTTATCTTTTCACAGAAGTTGTCTTTGAACTGCTGCCCTCAGATGAAATCTAGACCTAAGTTTCAATGAACCTGTGCAGATTAAAATTTAGTTTCATATTCTGAAGTATAAGTTTTTTGTTTGAGTCTATTTATTTGTTCCATGACATCATGACATTCGTTTGAGATGAGGGTCCAAGACATGCATCGAAGTTAAACCAGAGAAACGACTTTGCAATGGCAGATGCCAGATAATAACATTCTTTGATCTTTTTCTTTTTGTTTTTCTTTTTTCCCTTCTGTTTTTCTTCCCTTTTTCCAGAACAAATAGAGGTAGAAAATTCTCCAATCCCAAACACTTCCACTTCTCTCCGTTAAATGCAATTACAATGTAATCCTAAAACAGGTGAGATTGTGAACTAAACAGATTATGTCATCAACGTCTTGTGCAACTATTGTAGACCAATGACATTGTTCTTTGGTAACTATAGCTGCTCTTTCAGCCATCTAAGAAAATCAGTAAAGCATCGATGTTAATTATCCAAGTCAAAAACACATTCCGGAGAGATGCTCAGACAAGAACTTGCATTAAAACATATCAGTAAACATGTAGACAAGGAAAATGCTGATAACCAAGCAATTTTACTATAGATATCAAGTCATGTTCTGTAACTTTGTACAACGAAACCTTGGAGGCTAGAGTAATCTTGAGATCAGCTCCCTCCCACCATCCTACACTGAAATTTTTTCCCTCCTATCCTCCATACAAAGAATGCTGTTCCCAAGCCATCCTATAAAAAGGAAAAGAAACTAAAAGGAAACCAGTAAAACACATCCATGCCCCTTCAACTATGTGAACCAGCCTAATGGAATTTTTACAACTCTAATTGAAAAGAATAATGTTACATTTGGGGCAATAGATGTTACTGAAAAACAAACTACCATAGAGTGGAGTGTATTTACACTGTGGCATCGACTGGATATCTTGGCAAAATATTATGAAGAGAAAAATGCTAATAAAATCACAGCCTTAATCCTGTAAAAATTGGAAGGCTGGATTCTCAAGAAGATCTGATGCAGGTTTTACATCTGAGAAATCCTTCTCATGTAGGGAACTAGATAAGTCATCAGCTGAGAAAGGAATGCTGCATATTCAAAATCCATAATGAGTTGGGAGTTTGGCACGTCATCTATCCATTTAGAAGAGGTGACTTTCATTTCTTACCTGGAATTATCATCCAACAAGAATGAGTTGCTATCTTCATCGTTTGAATTGTTTGTTAGTATTTTCATGCTGGAAATCACCTACACAAACACAAGGTGCAGCAACACATCAAACATTAACAGATTTAAATTAATACCTGGGCAACTTAATAAACAGAATCTAATGAGTAGTAATCAATCCAATCCAGCTTACATCAGGAGATACACTTAGAGTATTGTAGTTGTCATCCCAGTATAAAGTGCATACTCTGTATAGCTGTTGAACACTCAGGACCTGAAACCAGGAAGAACTGATGAGAGAGAGATGGAGTTTTGAATGATGCAGAGCATGGCAATCTTGATATATTAACCAGAAAAACTATAAATAACTTGACAATAGCACATGAGAAACCCAAGTTGCATTTCACTTTTCCTTTTTCATTTCCCTTTCTTTTCCAGGCAAATGCTCACATGGTAATGCAAGATGTAGTATTGCTACTGCCATTAAATTTGCCAAATCATTCACTATAATCACAAATGGCCATCATTAACTTGATCGCAAAATTGATCTATCACATTAAATCACGAATCACATAACACCTGTCACAGGCTGCCACTGCCACATTAGTTAGTAAGAGTGTAGTATTGCTACCATTATTCTTGCTTCATTATTGACATATTGCCAAACAATGTGCCAGTTTCCACCCAAGTTCTTTAAGTTTCCTCAGCAGAATTTTGCAGCCATCACTAGCTCTCCAACAGGCATGATATTTTGTCAATTCAACATATTGCCAAAGAATATGCCTGCTTCCACCTAAGTTTTTAAGAAGTTTCCTCACTGAATTTTTCTGCCATCACTAGCTCTCCAACAGGTATGCTATTTTAGCAATTCAAGATGTGTGTGTGTGTGCTGTGAGAGAGAGGGGAGGGTGGGAGGGGGAGGGTGAAACATACCGGGCAAAGGTCATTTGTAATTTCATCATAGGAAACTCTCGATTTCTGGTGTATAACCTGGAGGGAAAAGGTGCGCTGAATTAGGATACTAAAAATTGAAACAATCACTGCTATTTTAGCAAAACAGAAAAGCAGTTAATGCAGAATTTCATATGCCCAAATAAACTTTACAAAGGGGGTCGTTTATAACAATAAGATAGTACAATTCAACTTAACTATGGGGAAAAAACTGGAAAAAATTATAAAATTATATGATGTCAGGTGGCAAGAGATTGTTGAGGCAAAAGAACTTAAGATTCTCAGAAACTAATGATTATTTAGCAAGTTACAGAATGCCAAATTCCAAAAGTATAGACATAGTTACCAGAAACAAGGATCGTTTGGGACTAGATTCAGAACAGGGTTGGCACTTAGCTGAATTCAGAATGCATAGGGTAGGTTTCATTGATACGTTAATTTGGATTGGGGTACACTTTTGAACACTTACATGGTTTATTTAGGACAAGAACATTACAATGTCACGATAAAGGAAGAAAATTTTCTAGCACAAGTTTTCCTATTCTCTTTCCTAACAAATGAAAAATGAAACAAACATTAATTTCTTTAAAAAAATTTAGGATAATACAAAATATTTGGGCAAAACAATCAATTTAATAGTTGGGCCAAATTGTAACTCAAAGAAACCCATGCTTAAGTCAATTTAAAAATAAAAATAAAAAAAACCAATTGGGCTGACTTAAAACACAGGCTCAACCTTGTCTTTTAAGTTTAAATTAAATATCACCTAAATGTTAGTGCCCAGAGACACAGTCTCCATTTTAGCTTCTCACAGTGCATAGTGCACGGGTCTATTGTCTTTCTCACAGGTGACCATGTTTTCATTTTTTTCCCAACTCTTCTGGCTTTACATCATCGCTCCTCTCTCCACTGCTCTCCCTCCCTTAAACAAAAGTGGATCACCCATGTTATCCTTCAATCCTTGAACTTCTCCTCAACCATCATAACTTCTACATTTTTGTTGGAGGTGTTCTTATTGGATTCAGATCCTCTAATGTTCCTTCCTCCCATATTTGGTCCATGTTTGTTAAATATAAACCATACGTTCAAAATAAATGGGCATGATTTTAGCACACGTTAAGCATGGCAGCATCTTAAATAGTAATTTTTTTCTCTCACCAAATCCAGATCATTGACTTCAAAAATTAGTAACATGACCATTCATGTTCCTTTTCAAACATGAAAAGATTCGGATCCCTTCTTATTATGTCCTTGTGTTCTCTCATGACATTCTCATTTTATAGACATGTTTCTTTTATTTCCAAATCATACATTTACTTAGAGAGAGAATGCCCATCATATGCCTAAAGATATTCCCAGGCCACCTAAAAAAGATTGCAAATAAACAAGGAGTTATAGCATCGTTCTCTTCATAACTTGAGTGTCAACCTAATTGTGACATCTTGGTAAATCATAACAGAACTCAAAAAGTAAGTAACATCCAAAGAACGAACCATACCAAGAATCCAACAGCTTGTCTTGTGTGTTTAAGTTCATCCCAGGATGCTCCTACATACTGCAATTCAAAATTAATACACAAACAATGATTAATATGGAGACAAACTGGACAACCCCTAGGAAGGTTCTTAGCCACAAGCACAAAGACATAGAGGTTTAATGAACTCCATGAAATTAAATATTCTACCAAAAAAGTAGTTTTCTCCTTTGCACTGAAATAACTTGATGTAGGTGAATAGTAGTTGAACAAGATATGAAATATAACTCAGCTTGTATCTTATTAACTATATAAAAACTAGTATTTAATATGTAAAATAATAGCCCATCAAAAAAAAAAAGAGGAATGTATAGGTCTAAATGGTTAGTTTCCACACTTTTCTTTTCAAGTAACTTTCGATATTAATAACTTAAGCAACACCATTAATTGGTCATGCAGCCTTGCTAATTTTGTTCAGATCCCTATATAAGGCTTTTGAATTGGCTGGAAAAACCGTGGCATCTGATGACAGACATAATGACAAAAGATAAGATTGTGGTGAATGCAGCATTTAATTGGAGACAAATTTAGAAGGGTACCTCTTCTCTTGCTTGGACACACCATAATTCTAATTCAGCCAACCCAGCTTTCACATATTCCCCATTGCTGAATGTACAGCACTCTCGACGAAGCAGAAGGCTGCAATTATACCAACAGTTGCATTGTCAAGTTAATGCAGTAGCATACAATTGCAACACTGTACAAGCATACAGCATTATTATCCATGACATTTGGAAACAATAGAAAAGCTATTTACCTATTAAACAGCTGCACATTGATGTATGAGAAAGTTTGAGCAAATATCTTCTGCACAAGAAATGGAGGCACCTGAAACAACATTAAGCATAGTTCAGAGCATAAAAGGACGATAGTATCACTTTGATATTATTGAAAGCAACAATCACATACAAAATTTTCTTTCAATGTACATAGCAGCCCATCAATACTCTCAACAATGCTGCGCCAGTAATCAGCCGGAGGACTATGGCCAAACGACCGAGATGATTTTAAAGCAGTTCCCTTCGATGCCCTTGGTGCCTGAAGTTCATTAACACGTTATCAGTGTTAGAAAATTGTGGTTGTTGGGGAAATTTCCCAGACTAGCACGTAAAGTTGATCGAGAACAACTTGAAACTTAATTTCTCCAATTACAAATGAATCCATTATCATTTATCTTGGAAGTCAAAAAAAAGATGCATTCAAGCCAAGGAAAAACCTTGTTTCCAAATCTGTATTAAAACATCCAAATACTATAGCAGACATCTTCAAATATTTGCATAAGATTACCTGTACACTCAATGCAACGATATGACAAGTTTACAGATCTATTTATGAAAGAAACCAAAGGAAAAGGGGAAGGAAAGATAAGCAACAAAAATAGAAATCCAATAGAGGATGATCAAATTTTAAGGTTAACACTAAAATTAGGTTCAATTGAGCATGCATTGAATGATTTCATTCCTGTTAGTTTTCAACAAAAAATACAGCATAAATTGCAGGGAGATTTTGAATAATTGAAAAAAGGCAATGGTTTCACCCATCTATTGATTTGAAAAAAGAAGAAACTCATTAAATACATCATGGCAGGATTCATAAATGAAGAATCAAGGTCAGTTTACCTGGATACATGAAGAAAGAAGAAGTGATAAATCCTTTTTTATATTATCTCGAATGATGCCATATATCTTCTCCACATATGCTGTCAGCTGCTGTTTAAAAAGCAAAGCTGGATACTTAGCCTCGACCAGCTGTACCTCTTTACCAACTTTAAGATTGGCAGAAGAAGGCGAAGAGCGGAAACCCTGGAATATATCAGGTCTAAAATGACTTCTTCGCATAAACAGAACATCAAATAAAATTTTGAGAAATAAAGAATGAATTTTTGTGAATTAAAGTAGAGTTGTGTCTAAGAATTATAATTGCATGATTTAAGATTATCAAATCATTTTTCTGCGAGCATTACTACAAAAGAAATTTCAGGAGAGTATCTAATTACTTGGGCCATCCTTCCAAAAAATGATGTTGGAGGCGGCGGATTGGGATTTGCACCACTGCCTTTTAAAGTCCGTTGAAGTAAGAACAACAGCATCGATGCATTAGATAACCAGTACGCCATATGATTATTGTCATCCTGGTTCTGAAAGCATTACATATATTCACATTAAGCATGTTGGATGTCAACTCACAAAACTCAAAACAATCCATCTTTCCTTCCGTTACCTAAGCTGTGGTTTAGTTTAGAGGCAGAACAATTCCCAAATAAATCAAGCATGAAAGGTGAAAATCAAGTTACCTCTATTGCAGAACCAATCATCTGAATAAGACGATCAAATACACTAGTTCTTTCAGCTTCAAACGATCTCCAGTGGACTAGGCATCTGTAAATGGTAAATGCTCCAACTGGTTTTCCTTGACTAAACCCAGGATTTTGTTCCACACATTTGATTAGAGCATCTACACTCTCCTACATCACAGGAAAAAAAAAAAGTGGAAAAATTAACATTATGTCAGACCATTTAGACTCAAACCAAAAATATATCAGGATAACTCCCCACTTTAAGCACATACATGTAGCCGTTCAATCTGAGATTTCCTCAATCTTTTGTCAGCATCTGTGCCAAACCTTTTAGATGGGATTGGTGGTTCCTGAAGAAGTATGCTCACTCAGGATGGTTGACAATACAAACTTTCAGACAATGTTAAATGAGTCTTAGATAAAATTTAATTATGTATCTTTATTTTCTTCACTTACATGATTACCATTTTCTAGATGCTGCAGCAATTTAAGAGAAGGAAAAGAATTAATAAGTTTCCTGAGGCTAACATGAGAAAAAAGAAAAGTTTAACGAAAAAATCCACACACTTTACCTGAGAAGTAATTTCTAAATGTTCCGACATTTTTCTTGAAGATGAACTGAACAATGCTTGGTGTCGCAGAACTTGGTCCTCAGCTTCCATGTCAGAAAGTTTTTCTTCAAGCCTGAGAAAGGATATTGTCAGTAATTTAAATTCATATAATTAACCCCAAGTTATCAAGGAAAAATCCCTTTATCCTGCTTCCATGTTGACTTAAAAATGCAATTTAGGTAATTGACTCTTTTTGACATAAAAATAAATCACTGTAGAAACCTCTGCATGGTTGTTTTCAGCTCAATTATCTTTGACTCTGCATCCAAAGCCTGCCTCAGTCGCTCTTCACTAAGCTTATTTGTCTCTTCATATTTCTTCTCTGTTTCATCAATTTTCTTTTCCAGTGAGCTTACCATAGCCTACAGAGTGTCATCCACAAACGCTATTTAAGTGCTAGTTGGGACATGTACTTCAAACAGGAAAAAAAAAATCTTGTCTCTTTCATCTTTGGATGCCAAATGCAGTCACACAGAAGCAATGCATAAAAAGCTTTACCTTGAGCATTTCATTTTCGGCAGTAAGTTTATTCACCAGTTCGTTATCAATAACTGGGACTTCCTGTATGGTTGAGACTTGTTCAACTGCTTCCTTCGCAGCTTCACGTTCCTTGATTAGTAGAGCTTTAGATTCTTGGAATTCAAGTTGCATTTCTTGCAATGCTGTACGTAATTTTGCATTTTCCTGTGTTTTGGATTCCTCTAGGTCAGCCTGCATTCAACAGAAGCATCACTTACAAACAATAAATACCAAATAGCTATGGAAAATAAATAAAAAATCACTGGAAAATACATTAACACAATCAACTTCATGCTTCTAGTCAATAGGAAAAGCTAGCATACTCATATGAGCATTCTAGATTGTAATTTTAACTTCAACACTAGATTCTTCAACACAAAATGAATGGATAAAGTATTAATTATCTCGTCTCTCTGGAGCTCAACACAAAGGAATTGGATATTTTTTCACATAGTTATTAAGATGCCATGCAAATAAGAAGAAAATTAAATTCATATGATATGGTTCATTTATTTAGGAGAAAAGAGAGAGCCAAGCAAAAAAACATCCCTACCCTCATCCGTTTCTCCAGCTGCAGACGCCAGGTTAGTTCTTCAACTTCCTTTTCCAGTTTACTTTTTGCAGCTTGGAGAGCACCAGTCTCCTTAGCAGCCTGCAGAATATTGGAAGAGTCAACAACATATTAGCAAATCTAACAGCTTTAGGAAACCACAAGGGATGGGGGCTACAAATTTGAACACAATGAGAATTTGAGGGATGGAATTTGACCAGGAAAAAGACTAAATTATGCAATTTTAAAATGTTACATTACCCAAACGTCACTGCATCCAAATGGCAAGATAAAATAGTTTTAGAAATTGATGGGTTCTACTCCAAGTACGAAATTCCATTGGGAAAAAAAAAAAACTTTACAGGAGGCACCCAAGTGCACAGAAATTATGCAGAAGCCCAAGCACCAAGGAGGGATGTTAGGAAACTTGAGAAAGCATTGACCAATTACTTCAGCCGAAACACAAGGTTCCCTTCATAAATAAAATAACCAATTTTTCTGTATTGGCAATCACAACCAGCTATGACACACAAGTGTATTTTGAGAATAAAAAATAACAGTAAAATTCATCCACTATTCAGATTAGTTACAGGACAGTGCATGAAGCAAAAAAGTGGAGAAAAAATTTGCAAAACAGGATTTGCAATCTTAGATATAATTTATTGGAGAAGAAAGTAGAAATCAAAGAAAGAAGAGGTTACCATTTTAAGCTGCCGTAATTCTTTACGTGCAGCCCGCCCTCTCCAGGCACATTGAGTGGCAATTGCTGCTCGCCTTAACCTCAGATAATGAAGTTGGGCAGAGTGTTTTCGGAATTGACTCTGCAAAAGCATGAACTCCAATAAGAATAAGAAAGCATATGTAGTATAAATTAAACTAAAAAAAAAAAAAATCAATCAACAGATGTGCAGCAATTGACTGAATTGCCAGCAAAGGGTCAGCCATGGCAAATGATGTCAGGTGCTTTGTTTAAAGGCTGGCCCACTCAACTTTGGGTAGCCTATCTCATCCCTTAAGATCGCTCCAGAAAGACAAGATTTAATCCCAGGTCCCTTAGAATAATAATACCTCACCTTTGCATAGACACACTTGGTTCCATTGTTCTTGTGTTGCACAACATGTTGATGCACTATTTTTATCGAAAATAAATTACACTGCTCTTGTCTCATATATTCCGACAAATTCACAATCATCTATTCCCCAACTATATGGAATGGCTATAAAGCTTTTGCAAAATAAATAACCTTCACTCTCTAGTCACTTCACCTCATCACTTTCCAGGAATGGAAGAAAGAAGGTAAAATGAAAACTATAACCAATTTCTTATATGGTGTTTTGGAATTAACCTGAATGACAATTGAAGCTCTCATCTGCTTCCTGAACCAAAGCTGATTACGAGCATCCATTCCACGCATGCCTGACTGAATGGAGACAGCTGAGAAGCACAAGTTGTTGTAAGCTTTACTCGCAAGATACATGCGAGAATACTTCTGGATTTTCAAACAGGCATTTTCTCTTCTCAGGCATTCAAACCTATTTCGTGCTACTTCAGCTGCAATCAGATTAAATGAAGCATAATTTGATACGATATCAATCATTGACCAATAAGTTCTAAATTCAATAGTTTCATGGACAATAGCACTGTTAAATTAACTAAGTGGTGCATGTAAATGAAGCTACTGATACCTCTACACAGAGTTTGGATATGAATGGCAGACTGCCGCAACAAGATAAAGCTTTTGCGACAAAAATATGAACGAACTTTCCTCTGGATGATGCTTGCTGATCTTCCTAACACCTCACTTCGATGAGCATCTAGCTCCGCCATCTGACCAGCTCTAAGAAAAACTTTTGTTTTGCCAATCTAGAAATGATTCAATAAGACATTCTTCAAGTGCCTTGGGAATGTAGCACAAAATAAACACTGCATTCTGGTAGATTTCAAAGGTAGAAAATATGCAATAACAACAATTTAGGCTAATCCGTACAAACACCCCTTGAACTATGGGTCATTTTGATTGACACCCCAGGAAGGTGTTTTAATTGATACCTTTTTCCATTACATTCCATCCATTTTTCTGTTAAATAACATGCGAGTTCCGTGTGTTTTCTTATGAAATATTATCAAAAACTGGTCAAAAAACATTAGAAAAAATTAACCTTCAACAATATTATGATAAAAACATCATTTACAATATGATGAAATTATCATCAAGAAATTAACTCTCAACAGTTTAATGACTTTCTGATGACTTTTTTGTAGTTTTTAAGGAAAGCATGTGACTTGTAGGCAATATTTAACAGCTGAATTGGGCAAAATGTAATTTAAGGGGTATCAACTTTACACCCATAACTTGAGAGTTGAAATAAAATAAAATAAAATAAATTAATAATAATAATAATCCAGGGGTACCAATCAAAATGGCCTATGGTTCAGGGCTGTTTCTGCGGTTTAGCCCAACAATTTATAACAGCACATATACTCAACACAGGTAGATTCGAAAGAGAGCTCATAATATTAAACAAGATTCAACACACATTCATTGCCTGACTGATATTCGTTCCTCACATGCACATATTCATGTTAACAAGTACAAGACGAACATTCAGAAAGTAGTATGTAGTATATAGATTATATGTGAATTGCAAAGGCTAAAACTATATCTTAAGATTATTCATTACTCTTAAAAAGGTAAAAACAAAAATATACCTGATAACCTTGGAGGTTGACCTTCTCTAGAAGCCTCTTGCAAGCACTAATCTCATCACAGCTATCGAGGAATAAATAATAGAAAACGAAAAACAAAAATGTTAATGCAATTCAAATCCAAGAAAGAATAAATAAGTAAATAAAAAGTAGAAGTCACAAACAAATTTAAAAAGCTACCCGCTATGCAGCACATCTGGTGCCAGAATGGCAAAACGGCGGACAAATTCATCAAATGTCTTCCTAGTGGGATATCCAGCACAACTAATCCTAATTGCCTCCATCACTCCCTGGAATAAGATTAATAAAGCATGATGGGTATGGTTTTTATCAATGAAGAAATGCCATGGCACCTTAAGTGACTACAATATTGAATCTTACCCCACAGCGTAGTTGCTGTAAAACATTATTACTCTCGAAGATGCCAGGCTTTAGAACATTATTTGGCTTTACACAACGAATGTAGTGGGGCTCTGTAGCATTCAGTGTTTCAAGCAATGCTTGTAGTTGTTGCTGTGGAGAGAAAGGTCAAAACAGAAAAAAGTTAAATATGCCATAACACATTAAACTTATGCACCCTAGATCATAAACTAACCTTACACCTAGAACCTATTGATGAGAACTTCGATGATTTGACAGATTCCTCAGGCAATGGCGGGAACAGGCCTGAAACAAAGGAGCATTTGGACTCACTGAGGAGAGCTTGATGCTCCGCAACAACATAATCTTTGTTCTTATCCAGAAAAAGTTCAGTTTGGTATGTCACCTACAATCAAAATTCTGTTATGAGTATTAAGTTGTACTTCACTTTTTAGTTGCTACATGAAGAACTAACATTGTGGCACACTTTCCTATGGACCAAAAAGCAGACCATACTCACATCACCAGCATAATGGCAAATGGTGAAGTCGCTGCGTGCTAACTTAGGCTTGTTAAAACGCTTGTGATCTTTAAAAGTCTGATAAAGCTTTTCTGCAAATGTTTCGTAAGTTGATCTAGGAAACATACTGCGAAAAACAAACAAAAGCTAATTTGTCATTACAACATCAACGGAAAATTTCTGGACAAACCAAAATACTCAATTTAATATCTGCATCAACTGAATGGGAGGAATGGTTGTTGTCCTCTGTTTTCTATAACATGCATACCAAGCTTCATCAAGAAGAGAAATGATGCCGCCAGGTTTCTGAAATAATAAAAGTACATATTAGAAAAGATGAAACACAATCCATCAACTCAGATCCTCTTTTGTGATGCTAAAACATGTACCAGACTAAGATGCAAGACCAAATACAATGGCAAAAAAAAAAATATGAAAGCAATATAGAAAAACATCAAATGGATGCTAGTAACAAAGCCAACATACAGTAACGTAAAATCTCAAAACTCTTAACTTTCGCAGAGAAGAAACCCTAATCAATCTCATCACTGTTTCTATTTCTACAATCAAAACGGCATTCGATTATCTTAGAAGAGAAGCACACTATTTCCTTCGAAAGGAACCGATTTACTACAATGAGACACAACTCCACAAAATATAAATTTACATCCAATTATGCAAAACAAAGAAAGTTTCTTGGCATTGTATTACTGTCGGGAAAATAAAATAACTAGACAAGAAAATAAAGTTGCAACAGAAAACACAGTTTTGGATAGCAAGAAGCCACTGTGCTGACTTTCTGACTAATTGAAGCAAGAAGGGCAACTGCTTAAGATGCACTGGAACAAATTACTCAGCAGTTTTTATTGTCCTTGAGCTTTACTGATAGACACAGTAATTACATGACCAAACAGCACAAAACTGTTTCCAAAGGTGGTTAGAATATGACGCATGCTCATAAATGAAAGGGGAAGAAAAGAAATGAAATTGAATAACGAGTCAGACCACAACCTAACAAGCCAAATTCAATATTAGCTTTAATTTGACATCATCTTAGACAGGTAGACAATGCAATTTCCGCTAACAGCAATAGAAAACTAATATCAAAGACTGACTTTGTAATGAAAGGAAACGCGTATCTGCATTTGGAGTTAGATAATAACACTATTTTGATCATTGTAATACTTTGGCACCTAAAACATAAAATATTAACAATATCCCTTACAAAATTGACGGACATTTTGTCTATGGACAAAATATAGGAAAAAAAATACAGGAGAGAAAAAAAAAACAAGGTTATCTACATGATTATTGTATCACAAAACATCACTTATTTTAACTGTAATATAGAATTTGCACAATGCAGTGAAGATGCCGAAGAAAGTCTGATCACTAAGCTTTTGAGACTGGATCACAAGTTGATGCAAATATGTGATATAAAATGCTTCATGCTGAAAAAGAAAGAAAATACTACACCTTTTCAATAAGATCAAGAACATCCTGATTATCAACGAATTCTATATAACTCCAATCAATTTCTTCCTTCGTATATACTTCTTGCTCCACCTTGAAGACATGCTGTCAAACAAACATTAGGGTAAGATAAATTACCATACATCATTCAGGGGTTCCAATGAATGCTAAAGAACTCGTACGAGTATGTCACGCTCAAACCTGGTTGAAGTGTTGCTGCAGCTTTTCATTGGTCAAGTTGATACAAAATTGCTCAAAGCTGAAACAAGCAAGCAATGCTATAAAAATAAATGCAAGTATAAACTGTAGCAAACGTAATGATATTGAACTTGAATTTGCACGACAGACAGTAAAGTATATTTACATGCAAGATGAATCATCATATATAAGCCATCATACAAACAAAAGTACCAAACTTAATGTTATTGAACTTGAATTTGCATGACGGACAGTCAACTATATTTACATGCCGAGATGAACCATCATATATAAGCCATCATACAAACAAAAGGAACCATGCTTGCCCATGTGAGCCAAGCTATTGCTGAGGTTCCTCAGTTAACAATGTTTGCATAAGCAAATCCCCACCCACTTAATTTATCTCATAAATTAAAAACAAAACAAACCATTGACATCAACTTTCAAATGGCATCATAAGAATAAAAATCAACTTTCCCCAACAAAAGAAACACAGGAATTTCATGCAGTTCTTCTGCAAGAAATTAACCTCCATAAATGATGAAAACAAAAGCATACCAGTTAAGCACCTGTTTGTCTTGAAACTCTCAAATCCATATATATCCAGAACCCCAATTAAAGATTTTGAATCAGGATCTTGACCAATAGAGTTGTTTATCTTGTTCACGATCCTGGGAGACAAATGTTCAAGACATTAGACAATGCTAGACCATTTACTGCAACAAAAAGGTAATGAATGATGGATGCATCATGTATGAAAGCATGAAATACATTATAGCATACCAATCAAATAATCTCGAATAAACAATTTTTGCCAAAGCATCTCTGTTGACAGCTGCAGCATCTGGATCAAGCCATTTTGTAATGCTCTCATCACGAGTTACAATCACACGTTTGCATAATGAGTCTTCAAGAGACTTCTCATCGCACCTAAATGAAAGGAGTGGATTATAGAATGGCCGCATCAAATCAGGAGATCAAACGTACAGCAGATATTTAAGGATGGCTAAAATTAATTATCAATTACATCAAAAGTTCAGCTGCTGTTTGGAGATGAAACCAAGACTTGTCATCCTTTGGTTCAGAAGAATCTACTTCATTTCCCTTAGCAAACTCCACATTGCCTAGATGCAGTATTGCAGCCACAACACGGAATATTGCATCCTGTGAAACAAAATTTTAGTAAATAGTTTCATGTGGATAATCAATGTAAAAAGTACAATTCAGATACCCAACCTGTTCATCAGCATTTATCCCAACAACATCCATAGCTCTTCTGGTCGCAAGATACTCTTCGGAATCATCCACTCCATCCAGCTCGTAGAAATGTGATTGATTAAGATAATGAAATGTTCTAGGATTTCCCAATTTGTACTTCTCTATATCCTGATAGTGGCATTTGGAAACAGTTAGTCAGAAAACGAGAGTAGATAATATAATTTTAAGCCCAAAAATATCCATCTAGGAACAACTTTGGCTAGAAAATTAAACAGAGTGTGATCGATCAACGTTACAAATCAAATACAATACACAAGCATATAGAGATGGTGTCAACCAATGGACTGCTAACCAAGGATTCCGATTTTTTAAAATTGACTTGAGTAGCCAATCCAAATTATTTGGAAGATTAACTATTATGTTGCTATTTCCTCTCAAATAAAATGGTAACCGATGGAGACATGGCACTCACTTTCACCTTTGTTAACACACTCACATGATATAGGCATCAGATCATCCTTACTGTTCTGGTTGGGATTTAGAAGAATTTCGAGTAAAATGGAGCTAAAGAGAAGCATGTCACATCGAATGATCTTTGCACTAGACCCAAAATCTTCTACTAAAAAATTTCAGAAAAAACGAATGAACAGCAACTTACCTCTGCTGGTGCAGCACAGAGCATATAAAAACAATGATAGTTTCTCTCAAGATCAGACACTTGGCAAACACGGGATCGTTCCAGTAAATAAGTTCTAATGGCAGCTCCTGAAATCCTCCCGCTTTGATCGAACTGAATCTCCACAAACTTACCAAAACGGCTGCAATTGCATTGTATTCAAATTCAGCAAAACGAATTGACTCAATCAACCAAAGATGCTCTCTTAGAACCTTAAAGCTAAATTACAAATACAATTGAACATTTTAATTTGAGTTTCCCACCTTGAATTATTGTTTCTTAATGTCTTTGCATTGCCAAATGCTTCCAGAACAGGATTGGACTGCCAAACACAGAATGAAGAGAGAGAAGGTGACAGTCAACCAAGGTGTTACCAGTGCAAGCTCACTTGAAGAATAGAAACAGTGGCATCTCATAGCATAAGTGAAATGCATCAACTTTGTAAGCTAACTAATTGAATCAGTAAATACATGATAAATTACCTCTAAAACTTGCTGCTCCACAGACCGTCCCTCGGCCGCAGCTCTCCCTCCCATGTAGGCCAAATAACGCATGAGCATTTTTGTACTCTCTGTTTTACCAGCTCCACTTTCCCCACTAACCAAAATTGACTGGCTTATTCCTTCATTAATCATCTGTCTGAAAGTTTAAAATCTTACTATTAGTTAAACTGCAGAGAAATTTAGAAGTACTTAATGATTGGGACCAAAAGTAGTACATGACAAACCACCTGTATGCTGAATCTGCCACAGCAAAAGGATGCGGGCTCAACTCACCAATGGCAGCCCCTTTATACTGTTCCATCATATGATTGTCATATAAATGAGGAAGTCTTCGGAAAGGATTCACAGCAATCAATATATTTCCTGTGTAAGTCTGGAATCAGCACTAGGAGTTTAGTTTTTCATATACCAAAACTGCCAAAAGAAGTACAACGGAAGGAAGGAAAAAAAAAGTGACATCAATCATACATAGCTATTGAAGAAGATTAAAACAGAATTCACACTCAAAAGCAATGACAAAAGAGGAGACAAAAATCTATATTACTAAAATGACGGGAAGCAGCTACCAGAATAAACAGCAGCCCTCTTTGAAAAATTTTTAAGAAACATATAAATAAAAGTGATAGGCTGATGCAAATCATTTGTTAAGACTTACATATATTTCGTTTATATCGTATCTACATCTAAGATTCCACAAAACCCCTGGCTCATGCAAATATGCCAGCCTAGTCATATCATCCACGCCACATGGAGGAAATTCAGGATCCTTTGGAAAAACATTAGATACTTTAGCAACAACCTACAAAAACAACAAACGAAAACAGTCAGCAAACTTAGTCTCAACTCCAACTTATAGCAATTGGAACAATGGACTAGGCATTGGCACACAATTTATTAATATGGAATTAACATGTAGTCTTAAGTCAATATGAAAGAAGAGGGGAAATTGGAATACTCTGAACTTCAAATTTTTTTTTTAATATAAGAAACAGAATTTTAATTAACAATAAATGGACTAGGCATTGACACATTTTATAACTACAGGATTAACATGAAATCTATGCCAATATGAAACGAAGAGGGAAAAACTAAACACTCCATTTCAACTTTTAGATTATAAGATTTAAAACTCCGATTGAATTATAACATTGTTGTATGTGTAGGATGAATTCAATCTTCTGATTTGATGTATTAAGGATTTCGTTAAATTATTAAGGAAACCCACCGCATGAATCAATTTAAAAACTTTCATGATACAAGCACCTAAGGGAAATTTTCTGGTTTTATAAAAAATATGGCGGTCTTCTGTCCGAAAACAAAGAACATTTGACACCTTAAACCTCTTTTATATGGAACATAAAGATACGTGCATGTGCATTTGTTTGTGTTCTTTTAACGCAGGGGAGAGAAACCATCTCACTTCTATCAATAGGCAAATTTCACAAATGTCCCTAGTTGGGGTTAAGTTACAGTTTCAATCACTCAACCAAGGTTCAAGTATTAATACCAACAGCAACAGCAAGAAAAAATTCAAGGAAAAAAAAACTCCAATCTACATGGCCTGGTGCATGCTTAAAAAATAGTTAAACTAAAGGCAATATCAATGCATCTTTATTTGCATTCCCAGTCAATTCTCCAAATAATAATTAGAAGTCAAGTTTCCTGACAGGCTGTTCGGAAACCCATGATTTGTGCCGCATTCAATTGATCAGGCAGTTAAAGTAATTTCTTTGTTAGGTCAGCTGAATTTGCCTATTTAACTCAACTCTTAAATCCATACAAATTGTAAATCTGATCTAAATAGTTCAGATTTGCCAAAAATTCCACCAGCAATGGTCATATCATCTTTTTCAGCTTTGTTTCAATAAACAAGAAGGGTTTAAGTTAGTAATTTACCCTCTACATGTCACAAGTAGAAACGACAAATAATAGGATAAGTTAGTAATTTAAGATTATAATATAAGCACAATTCAAACCCTTCCAAATTCACACAGAACAAGGGAATAAATAATAAAATTCAATTCAACTTCATTGATGAATTGGTTCCAAAGAAGTTATAGCCCATTTCATTTACTTCTCATGCAGCGTTTTAACAATTTTATGCACAACAGGTCAACAAGTTGCTAGTAAATTATCAGTTAGTAAATAAAAATTTAAAACTAACAGTTCACCCAAGTTATCATGTAAGACACTGGCTTGTTTTGACCAGTACCAATTTCTTTTCAGAGTGTATTAGCCAAATTTTACGGTTCCTCGACTTCCAGTAATATAAGCATGAAGAGTGTTTTGCTACTAGCCAAAACCAACGATCAAACCCTTCACACAAGATGCATTTGATTGGACTGGCCAATAAAATCATGTATATTTTAAATCAGCCATGTAATGTAGCAAGGAAAGCATTTGAATCTATCAGATCAGATATCATAAATTGGGTGGGGTTTGAAGAACAAACTTCTTTTTTATAAACAAGAATATACTCAATTCTATTATGAAAACTTGATATAACGTCCTGCAAAGAACTCACCGTCTTCCCTGATGTACAGTTTGCTATAATATCTTCACCATTGACTTCCACAACTTCCCCATCCATCCAAGCTTCCTCAGGATCCTCCACCCAAACAAAAGATCCAACTATTGGACTGACATGAGCAGCCTGTGTGGCATGACATTTCATCAGTACATCAATCAGAGCGAGTAATCTCATCCGTAAGCATGAAGCAGCATTTAAAAGAAAAAAAACAGTAGCATCCACCCAAACAAAGAAAGGGCTGGCAACAAGTGACGCTGCTACTAAGAACAGAATCTCATAAACAAAACATTATTCAGCTCAAGTGACCATCATCAAGTTACACATTCTATAAATTTAAATCAGTTATGGATTCAGGCTCCAGCCCTTAACATATCTTACCACATGTTCCACTTCATAAATTTTATGTTGATTTCATAGCTAGTTTTACGAGTTTCTAACAAGGTCCAAAAAAGTTAGTTGGCCTCCGAGCAGAATTATGAGTAGAATAACACTCTGCTCACGTTATCTACTCTCTAGACATTGTATAAACCTTTACAAAATCCAAAACTCTGCATTAACTACTTCACAAAGAGAAGCACAAGAAATTCTATAGTGCTTCAGCAAGAACATTGCAGTTACGTCAAACATTTCTGAATGCATCTAAAACAGGACATGGAACAAGATATGCAAAGTCGGGAAATGTAATAAGCAATAGTTGCACAAAGAAAGGGGTAAAGGGCATTGGAAAATTAAACTCAAGTACATCTAATCTTCTATCCAAAGCAACAGATATTTCTAAAACCTTAACAAGTTAGCAATAAAAAAAAAATGACATTTTAAAAATAATTTAATAATTAAGCTTTTAGCAAAAGTAGCAATTAAGAACAAACACAACGTAAATTTCTTAACATAAACAATATTGTCAAATAGTGAGACGTGGAAGAAAAGAATACCATTATTGAGAAGAAGGGAAATAATCAGATTTAGATCCGAGGCCGAGCCAATGAAACCCTAGATTCCTCCCTCGGCAAGCAATGCCATAAAACCATTAACCAATTCTTCAATTGCAACAAAATGCCGTTACCACAAGATCCCAAATATGTCCTGCCCAGCCCTAAATCAGTTTTGCTCACTCTTATATTTCTCTCTCTACAAATGCAGCAACTTTCTCTCTCTGTCTCTGAAACAGTAGGAATTTTTTTTCGTCGAGGGAAAATAGTTAAATGAAGATGAAGAACAAGAAGAAGGGGTGAGGGAGGTCACGTGAATAGCAAAGCACAATGGATGTGGACCTTAAACCCCTTCGTGACCGAAACCACAAACAAAATGCAAATAGATTATTATTATTATTATTTTCCCTTTCTCCTCCGCTTTCTCTATCAAATTTTCCTTTTCTCTTCTCTTTCTCTGTCCGTTCTTTTGTGTGCCTTAAATTTTTCCTCTCAAACGCGTAACAACAACGACGAGAACGCGGAAACTAGAAACATAATCATCATCTTCTGTTCTTTGTTTGTTTTTTTTTTTTTCCTACTCCCGGATTTGCCCTTGGGAATTTTTTTATTAACTCGTGGACGTGGTGGCGCCGCTGATGTGGATAGGCATGACGCGAAATTATCATCTACCATTTTTCCCCTTTTTTTAAGTTTTTTCATTTTTCCTTTCTGTAGGGGTTAAAGATTTCGTTCATCCCTCAATTCATTTTTTTGTATTTGAAAAGTCTCTCTACTATTTTTTATTTTAATGTCATCCCAGTACGTAAAATTTTCGTCATCATCACATCCTTCCCTCAATTGGCGTCGCCAATGCTGTTAAAACTGACATATTTCATGCTCTTACATAAAATTTTCATTGATATATATTCGGTCCCTAAAGATATTGAAAATTTTACTTTCATCCTTGTATTTTATTTTTTCTTACATTAATTGATATTATTTGTCATCGTATTTATAGTAAATATGCTTCAGTCTCTTAATTATTTTTTTTGAACAATTCCCCACGTATCAAATAGTAAACTTTGTTAAAATTAAAAAATATATATATTCTTAATTTTAACCAAAAAAAAAGAAAAGAAAAAAACCATAATAAATGTATGATATTATAGCAATTAATTATATCTCAGAATAATAGCTTAGTGTTTGAACTTCTTGATCATTTTAGTTTGATTAGATTAATTGATCATGGATGAGATTATTTTCATTATTGTGATTTTATTGAATTTTTGATTTCTATAATAATAACATCATATATCTATAGTAAGAATTTTGACAAATTTAAGTTTTGACATGTAGGAACTTAATTGAAAAGTAAAGATTAAGTTAGGGATTACATTGTATTTATTATAAAATATGAGGATAAAAAATTCCAATCAGGGCTTTTTTAAGAAAATAAAATATAAAAATCAAAGTAAAGTTTTCAAATAAAATCAAGGTCCAAATGTACATCAATAAAAAAGTCATGTTATGGGAACATAATATGTGTCAATTTTTAATGAATATGACTACGATATATATATATATATATTTAGGAATAATATTAAGATAAAAAAAATATAGGAGAGGGACTGTTAAAATGCAAAAGAAAAGATAGAGGGATGTAGGGAAACATTTACCTTTATTTTAGATACCTATCTTCTTTCTTTCTTTTTTTCTTTTTTTTTTTTTTTTGTTTTACCTTGATTTTTTTCAAGTGATTACAGAGGAAGTTTTACCTCACCCAATCATGCAGGTGCGGTTGCAGATGAGATTTGCAGAAGGAAGTATTTTTGGATGGTATTATTTCTACCATCTTCATGGAGAATATCATTTTTTTTTTATTGACCGATATGTATTTGTTCAATATATTTCTTAATTGTTAAAATTTCATATTATCAAATATCAAAATTAACTTCTTTTTTAGTGATGGAGTTTTTTTTTTTCTTTTTTTATTGATGGAGCCGAAGCCATGCTTCTAAAACTGAAAGACCCGCAGGAGAACGGATTTAGAAAATCTAGTTTGTCGTTTTTGTTTAATAAATGCATGGAAGGTGACGTTTGAAATTATTTGGTGCGCACGAAGACCATGACGATAAATGACTCTTTCATGTCTCATATTAAAATATTATATCCCGCCACTCTTGGAACACGTTTGCTCTGTCTCGTGGCACAAAACCGGTCTGTGTATTTCTCCTAAACTATCCATAATTAATTATCTTAAATCAAAAAATACTCTTCATTCCTTTGGACTAGGACATTTTTTTTCATTTGTTTTGTTTATGAAACAAATTAAATAAAAAAAGTTATTATTTTAAATGAATTTTTTTATTTCTTAAACATTTTCGAACCTCTTTGTTGGTATTCATATTTTAGTTCAATCATATTGAATCAATTAAATTTTGCAAACATAAAGTAAATATGAAAAAGCCTTTTTCATGGAGACTCGTTTGCCGAACTGATACTAACATAAAGGCGACTTAGGGGCTTTCAAGGTAAATAGTAATATAATTATTGTTATTTCCGGGAAGAAGTAAAAATTTTATAGAGAGCAAATAAGATATAAAATAGCCAAATTTCTTTCCTTTTTTATCTCATTGAGCTATATGTCAAAATTTCCAACTTCCTTATCTTTTCACTCATGGCACCCTTATTTACTTCTATCTAACATTGTTTCTTTTTGCAGCTAAGTGATATTCTCAAAGAATTCTAAGATTTTTTTTTCCACATATTAATAATTTAGTTTAGATTTTAACTTCTTTTTCTAAAGTTTGTATGTTGGTTCAATTTCGTTTAAATTTTTTTATTTATTTCAATTAACTCTCCTATTTTTAATTTTTTTGGTTCAAATCAATTTTCAAAAATTTATACTTTTGTTCTAATTTTCCTTCTTTGCCTATTTTCATTAGATATGTAAATTTTCTTTTCTATATCATCAAACAAGTAAAGAAAAAAATTAAAAAATTATCAAAAAAATAAAAAATACATTTTTTTTATCAAAACAAATATAATAAAACTTGGTAGGTCAATTTCTCAAGAAAACCTCAAATTCTACTAACTTCAATCCTCACATGGAATCTATTTGTTATGTAAAAAAATATTTTCCTTTACTTTCTAGTACTAAATAGATATTAAAAAATAAGTCAATGAGAAATATTTTCTAACCAACGCCTGAATTGTGCAGATTTATAAGAAAAAAATATTTTAAAATCGTTTAAATACACCATATCGATGTAGATTTGTATCCTCAAAGTAGTCTAAACAAAAATAATAAAACTTGATAGATCAATTTCTCAAGAAAACCTCAAATTCTACTAACTTCGATAGTCACATGGAATCTATTTGTTATGTAAAAAAATATTTTCCTTCACTTTCTAGTACTAAATAAATACTAGAAAATAAGTTAATGATAAATATTTTCTAGTAAACGCCTGAATTGTGCTGATTCATAAAAAAAAATATTTTAAAATCATTTAAAAACACAATGTGGATGTAGAATGTGCATCCTTAAAGTAGTGTAAAGAAAGATTTAGTTTTGATTGATATGTAAATTAGTTAAAAAATATCCTTACTCAATATGGAATCAAAATATAAAAATACTTCTATTAAAAAATAATTAATAGAATGTAAACTTTTTATACAAACTGATAAATCCTTATTTCATTATTTTTATTTACTCATGCTAAAGGTTGGAAGTTCATTGGTTTGTTTATTTATTTTATTTTATTTTAGTTTAAAATTTTAAGGTCAGCATTCAATAAAATTTATTAATTTTATTGAATATATAAAGTTGATATTAAAAATAGGTTTTTAAAATCGTTAGAATTACTTTACTTGATTGATGTATAAATTAATTTAAAAATATTTTTACTAAACGTCAAATCAAAAATATATTAATGCTCGCACACAAATAAGTAATTTCGTTTATCACTTAATCAGCACTCTTGTACAATTTGTCCATATACCAGATATGTGGGTAGAACTCTTTAATCATCCTAGAGGATTAAGGAACTCTTTAATCATAACGGGGCCGGGAATTTTAAATCCAGGTAAACTAGTGATTACCCAAACAAAAAATTAAAAAAAGCATCCAAGGTTTGGATATCTTGACAACTGGCATCGACAAGGCGCCAAAAGTAGCAAACGTCAGAAGGAAGGGTCCCACTCCTAGATAACTAGCTTGTTAATGGCAGTTTTGTTGTTACGAAATAATACCGAGGGCAGTTTTGGATTTAAAGAAACGTATCTCTTCGAGGAGTAGGGCTCACAGTTCTTGCCCGTTATAAACACCAAGCTACCGATCTGGCCCCACAGCTGAATCGACGGCCTGGATCTTTGCTACTTATCTGGGCCCCAAATTAACTCCTAATCAAAAGCCTCCGTTATATCCGGAACCATGAAGACTTTTTGGTCACGTTCTTTTTTCTCACATTTTTCGCGCTTTGACACATCTTCTTGTCACTTTTTGATGACGTGTCTGAGAGACCACTGTTTCTTTCAACGAAGTTCCAATCAGCGGTTCAGATTCGATGAGCGAGTTAGTGTACAATACAGTCGTTTGATGAGAAGAATGCAAAAGCGCCTCGTGGGGTTGACTATAGTTGCTTAAGTTAGGACTTGCTTTATGTTCGGAAAACCAGAGCTTGAAAAACTCGTAAAATATTCAATGAAACTTTAACTTTTTTAAGCCATTGCTTGGCCAAATTTCACGAAACATGGGAGTGAATTATAAATCAGTCCCTCTCTTGTAGACAAAGGAATTAATAAGTCCTCTTTTTTTCAAAAACTAATCATTTAATCCCTTGTATTTATTTTTTATTGTTTTCTCAATAAACCCAAATGGGATCTATGTTTAGCTATGTGTCAATGGATTCGATTAAGTTAGTATTTTTTTAATCTCAAGTACGGGTGTTCATTTAGTTATTTCATTCAGTTTTGAAATATTTCGGATGGTTTTCGATTAACCAAATTTTTAAAAAAAATAACCGAAATTGAAATGTTATTCGAGTTTTTCGGTTCGATTTCGAAGTTTGATGATTCATTTTTTACCCATTTTATTTTATTTTATTCAACAAATAGTTGATTTTATTAATGTTTCGAAAATCTATGTTTATAGTGAATTTCTTTTCTCGCTTTGCCGAACTATCGGCTAGAAAACTAATTTGCAACTAAAAAAATAACAAAGGCATTGGTAGATCAACAAATAACAGATTATCCACTCAAGAAGGCTTGAATTTAAGACGACAAGAAATCTACCAATGCCTTTGCGATTTTGTATACATCCAGTTTGTAGCGAGAGACGAGAGCACGTACAAAGTTGTGGAAGGAAGTGCATCCGGTGGAAAAGTTTTTTTCAATTTGAAAATAATGGGTGCAATGAGTGATTTGACTTAATATATATATATATTAAAAATTTTACTTTTTCGATTTAACCAATTTTTTAAAAAAAATCAAACGTGAAAATCAAAATTATTTCGATTCGGATTTTTTTTCTAATTTCTAAAAAAATCGCACCGAAATTAATATTTCGATGAGGTTCGGTTATTCGATTTTCACGAAATAATGGACACCCATAATCTCAAATGTGTCGCTACCCGACATTCAAGAGACTTCCAAAAAAATCTAATTAAAAATTTAAATCCTTGTTTATTTATTAAGGATGTGAGTTAAACCACGTTTTTTTTTATTTTGAAGTCCTCATTTATTATTAAAGGAACTAGAAAATCTAAAATTGGTGCTTGGTTCAAAAATTTTAAATAAGGAATTGGTTATGCCTTTAAAAGTATATCGATCACCCAAAAACATCTTTTCCTAGGAAATGTATCATATCTATTTTAATCCTAAAGTTTATTTCCTAAAAAAATATATTATTTATCAACATCATTCTTAAGTCAAAATTCCAAGTTTTATTTCCTAAGCCAATTTTTTTTTTTTTTTGCATCATATTGATTGATATTCGAACCCCGTCGTCGAGTCTTGTCAATTCAACATCGGATCTAACTTAAGTATCGACATAACCGATATGTCGGAGAACAACCTAATTACTAAAATGTAATTGATTAACATCGATCCATGTTAAATACAATATTGTTGATTTTCACCTAACATTTCTTTATTTTCTTTCTTCTTTTCTTTATATGTCTTTTTTTTTTATCATTTTTATCATTTTCATTTTTTTATTTTTAAAGGTTTGTGGAGAATCTTCATCGGTCCTTAAAAATTAAGAGACTCAATAATTCATTAACCTATTAATTGCCTAATTAAACTATCAATTATTGAAGCAATATTTAATATTAAAATAAAATCCAAAAATTAAATTAATAGTCCCTACTATATGAGCTTAAAATCTAATTACAAAATTCAAATTCAATTAAATACTAAATATTAAACTAAACTGAAATTTAAATACCAAAAGAAAATTAAAGTTTAAGCATTAAATTGCAATAAATAGGCAAAAAGAGTTCAAAAAAATCCAAATTAATTAAATTTAGCCTATGCGAGAAAATAAAATGAACTTATGAAATTTCATATTTAATTTACCTAGGAAATAGCTAAAAATGAAAAAAAAATGGGGTTATTGGGTCTTTGGACCCAATAAGCCAAGCATGTTGGGCATACTTGCTTTTGCTTTTGGGCTTGGGTTGGGCTAAGTTAACTTATTCTTCGGTCACACGGGCCGGGTCGAAGCCTAGCCCATCCATCCTTTACTTGCCCAACCGATACCAAAAATGAAAACCAAACCTTTTTCAAAACTAAAGCCAATTCTTCCTCCCCTTCTTGTTCATTATGGACACAATGTCCGAGTTATGCCCAAGCTCCCAAAATTTTCCTTCTTCCTTAAAGGAAATTATCTCCATGGTAATTGGATAACCTTAAATTAATTATCAAACTAGAATCCCTCATTATTACTCTATTCTAGATGAGTTCAAAGAGTTGTAGAACATGACTCATCAATGGTAGTGATAGTGTCATTGTTATTTTTTCCTTTGGATACTTCAAAAATGAAATGGGAGATAACTAAATGTAACCAATATTGGATGAGATAAGGGTTACTTAAATAATGCTCAAAATTGGAATGCATCGAAAAAAAATAGATGTTGTGTTGTGTTATGTTGATTTCCTTTATTGTAGGTGATTGATGACGATGATTGAAAAGCTGGATTTGTTATCAATTGTGTAACTAGAGATTGTGTGGTGTATTATCTCGTGCAATTATGGGTTAGACAGGTCCTGTAACCTTGATGGAATGATAAAAACACTAAATTGTTTGTGTCCTTAATGCCGAGAAAACCAAAGAACCCATAACTCCATATTTCGATCCCCCCTCTCAAACCCTATAATGTGACTTAACTTATAGCCCTATTGACCTTGGATTCCCACTCTTGGATCCTTTACAAATGATTAGGACCCTCGTTTGCTATAGTCAATAACACATTTTTGGTGTTCTTGGCTTCTTGTGGACATAATGAATATTCCAAAATAAATATAGTGTGTGTAAGCTTATGGATTATAGTGGTGGCACAATGGTGCTAGTGGTGTGAAGCGCCATTCCTAGTCGGCATTTGTAGGAATTTGGTAATTAATGGTTTTGTTTTCCTCAATAAAGGATGATGAACAGTACAAATGGAGAGTAGGGATGACAATCTAACTCGCTCCGACTCGTCCCGTTTGGGACGAGGATGGGGAGTGCAATTTTGCCCTCGATAGGGCACGAAAAGGGGATGGATTTTTTTTTTTTTTTTTGGGCAAGGGGGATGGGGATGGCCATCCCCACCCCACCTCACCTTTTACCTTTAAAAGGAGCCCCACCCCTTTGGGGTGGGGATGAGGAGCGAAATTACACCCCGAATGGAACACCGGGCGGGGATGGGTTTTTTTTTTTTTTTTAAGGACAAGACGGGGATGGGGATGGCAATCCCTGCTCCATCATACCCCATTGCCATCCCTAGTGGAGAGGATTAATTATGGGTTGAAGCAAACGCCATGTCGTTCCATCAATTTTTGGTCATGTCGTTCACTCCCCACTTTCACTTTAGTCCTTAGTCGTTTCAATTCCTAGCAATTATATCCCTAATTTCTAGTTCAATTACATCCCTACCGACTTTCAATTTCGGTTCCAATTTTGTTCGGTTACACGTCTATTTCATTCAATTTTGTCCCTAATTGATTTTCAATTTTAAATCTAGCAATTTTCAATTTCGAGTCCTTATTCCTTTCAACTATGTCCTAAATTAATTATTTTATTAAAAACCTTTTATTATTATATATCTTTTTCTTTTTCTTTTTTTATTACATTTTTTCTTCTTTTTTTTAGTAATAAATAGGAAAATTAAACCAAAACTATTTTTTATATTTTTTTATTCCTTGCTTTTTTTTCTTTTGTAATAATAAATACTAAAATTAAACATAAAATAAATTATAAAAAAATAAAAAAATGATAAGTAAAACCAAAAGAAATAAAATTGAAAAAATAAATATAACAAAAAATTTGGGTTATGACAAAGTGAATAAAGTAACTCAAATAAAAAAAAAATCAAAAGTTAGGCATTTAAATGGAGAAATAATAAAAAATTAGGTGCTCAAAATGTTATTTTCTCTAGAAAAAATCATAATAAAAAATGATAAATAAAACCAAAAGAAATAAAATTGGAAAAATAAATATAACAAAACATTTGGGTTATGACAAAGTGAATGAAGTAACTCGGATAAAAAAAAAAAAAAATCAAAAGTTAGACATTTAGATAGAAAAATGGTAAAAAATTAGGTGCTCAAAACGCTATTTTATCTAGAAAAAAATCAGTTTTTCTTTCGAATAATCTAAATGGGACCTATCTTTGGTCATGTGGTAGTTAAAAACTGTTACGTGATAATTTATCTAAAACATATGAATATTTTCTTATCTTATGTGATTGTGGACGCATAAGCACAACCAAAAAAAAAAAAATCCAACCTTAAACAATCAAGTAGAAAGATTTATAGGTTAGGGCACTTAAATCGAAAAAAAAAACAATCAAATTACAGTTTTCTAGTTTTTCATTTATAAATTTCAAGAAACTCTTTCTAGTTTTGAGCAATTGAATTGTTGCTTTCCTTATTGTTACATCCAATTGAATTGTCTTAAATTCTAGAATGATTTTTGCGTAATAGGTGAATTTCAAAGATGCAAAGATAGGTATTTGAGGTAAATAGTTTATTCTATTTTTATACAATAGTTTAAGTTTTCAATATGTCTCTACATTTTTAATTTTATCTATTATGTTTTTTAATATTATTTAGTCTCCAATCCAACCTTTCAATCAACTTTTCGATCATGGACATATTTTTTAATCAAATGTCATTGATTGAAATGCAATAATAATAAATAAATAAATAACAAGTTCAATTTTTTATTTTTTTCATTATTATTATTTTTTATTTTTTTATTTTTTTGCATTTATGTCAAAAAAAATTCTCATGGTAAAAATTTTTATTGAAAAGACACGTTGGAGATTTAAACATTATTCAATGATACATTAGATGCAATTATAAACATAAAAAACAAATTAAAAACTCATACTATTATATAAAAACATATTAAATTATTTACCCGAGTTATTTGTATTTGTTTTT